AATATTTTATATTTAAGAGTGCGCTTTCCTGAAATAAGTTGATTCTTTAAATCAGCAAATTTCTGTATTCCTGAGAAGAATCGAGTGGCTTAAATAGGCCACATGTAATCGGCCCATGTAAGCTGTACCGGCCACTTCAACCAGCAAATCAATCATTCACCAATGTTGCTTCTTTTCTGTATTCATCTTTTTCCTAAGATTTCAGTTTGGAAATATAAATTTTCCAGAATTGTGCTGATTTTGCGATATTCCTTCTGTATTCTTCAAAATTTACTTAATTTTAATATTAATAGCATATTTTAAACCCTTCTATTATTTATAATTTGCCTACTTGTAATATTGTTGTCAATATTCAAACTAAAAAAATATTCTAATGACTAATTAACTCTAAGATTATCACTTAAATTCAAAATAATTTTTTTTTTAAATAAATATTGCAAATTTCATTTAATCTTCTATAATAATATTAAATTAATTTAATTATCAAAAACAGTATTTGGCAAAATAAAATCTAAAGCACTAACGAACGAGTTAAAAATAACGCTATCTATTAGAATATCAGTCAACCACAAGAAATAATAACAAAAAAGAAAGCAAAAAACAAAAATTCCAAAAACCAGACCGCAAATTCGCAAATAATTTGAACTGAACCACATTTGTATGACATTGACAATTGAATAATTGGAGAAGTGAAAAAAACATAATAAAAAATAAGAAAAAAAACAACAAAACTCTCTTATCATTCAATTCAAAAATGATCACGAGAACCGCTGATAACTGTTAATACTTAAAAAAAAAATTTTTGCTCATTCGCGATTCTTACACAATTTCTTATTTTTTTTTTGTTATTATTGTACAAAAGAAATTTCAATTCGCATGTTTTTTTTATATTATAATTTATTTTAACTCTTCCAATTGAGCATCCAATCCAAAAATTTAGCGCTCTTGACGTCATTTCAATTGTATGTCAAAAAAAAAAGCTCAAGTATTCATTTTTATATTGTATTGTGTATAAAGTAATTGTTAATAATTTTATGAAATAAGCGGTTCTCTTTTTTTTTCATTGTAAATCATAATTATAATAAATTTAAAAAGCCGGGACCGGATATGATGTGATACAAGATCATTTCTCTAAATTCCAATTACTGCAGATCAAGAAAAGAAAAGAGTTTAAATTGTTTAGATATTTTCGCGTTTATGCGGATTTTCTTGTTTTTTTTTTTATAAATTTTGTAGTTAAAATATTCAAAATGTACATAGAAATTATTTTGTTGCTTTATTATATCCATTTTGTTTAGTTATTGTGTATAGCACATAAGATAATTTCAAAATGGGGCACGTGGGTACAACATATCGAATCACTCAACGAAATTCAGTTCTTCAAAGTTGCTGGAGATGGATCGAAATCAATTTCGTGCTATTACTAACTTCTTCATGAGACATTGTTTTGTGAAATATGGTCTAATGTAGCTGGAGAAATGTAGTTATTATTCTTCTACTCCTCTAGAATATAAAGCATGTTATTCTCAAAAAATTATTCACGAACCTTAGTACAATTGAAAAAATGACATCTCCTACTTTCAATCGTTTTACAAATGACCTTTCGATCCCCTAAGCTGTGCTCGTTTTTAACTATGAAGTGGTGTCTATTATTTTTTTGGTATTTATATCTTGTTTTTCAGCACCTGTTTTTTGTGTTATTGCTTCTGCGACTTTTTCTCTCTATTTATCGTACCTATTGGATTATTCATCACTCATCTGTTGATATTCTCATAATTACGACGTTCTTATATCTCTGAAATTTGCTTGAAGTGTTTTTTCTTCGAAAAAATGTTAATCTTCTAATATAGTAGTCGAGAATCAATTTATCGGACTCGATTATGAAAGTATAACAGAATTAAATATTAAAAAAGAAAATTATTGCATATTTATGGGAACCTTAAATACATGTACACTTTAAAATTTACATTTCTTACCAGTTGACAGTAATAGTCATCTTCAAATTTTTCTTTTCTTTATCTTACATTTGTAAAATATAAATTATTCGTTCGCATCGAACCCAATTATAATTTTCTCTTACTTTTCCTTCTATTGTTGCATGTAACCATGCCATATGTAAATACATACATTCATATTCCCATATAGTCATTTAAATAGTGAAAAAGGATTTACTTTATTATACAGAATATAGGGAATAAAAAATAATTATATGTGAGAATAAATCACAAAAAATTCTCTAATATTAAAAATGAGAAGAGTATAACAGTTTAAAACAAACTGTTAACATAACAACGATTTTACGTAATGTAAACTAAAAATTGTATAATAATAGCACAAAAACAATAAAAATAAGTACAACTATTGGATAAAAAATTACAAAAATAGTACATTTTCAACATTGTATAACAATTTAACTGAAATTGAGTGAGAGTATATGAGCATTGTTTTTGAGCAATAAAATAATTTTTTATTTTATTTTGCTTGAGGAGCAGAGCGAACGAAGTACATAAAAATAATAGAAAATAGAGAAAAGGAAAAAAAATAAGAGTAAAGCAAAAATATAACAATACAATTAAATAAAGAGAAATGGGCAATATACAAGTATAAAAGAAATTAAAAAATAAAAATACAAAAAAAAAAATATTTTTTTTTTGAAAAATATTCAAAACAACAACAAAATCCCAAATTTTCAAAAATAAACCTTTTTAAATGTAGATTTTTCCCTTTTTTTTTAGGACTTTTCTGATTCCTTATTTTCTTTTTACTCTTTTCATGTTTTTTTTCCTGTTTTTTTTCATACTTTACTTTTCTCTTTTAACCAAATAGAGCCATCTTCATTTTTAAATTACATATTATTATGTATGTACCTACCAATACCTTAAATATATAATATTCCCAGAATACATGTAAAACATTTCATAGAATACTCCGTTCTTTTCACAATAACAATAATAATAAAAAAAATACACCGTTTATCATCGCATATATACACAGTAAATTTTTGTATGCGACTAAAACTATAAGAATAGAGTCAAAAAAAAATAGAGTGTAAAAGAACCTTTTTTTCTGGTCGGAAAATAGTACTGAAAATAGAAACAACAACAAGTTTAAAAAATAAAAAAAATTACAAAAAAAAAAGAACCAAAATTTAACCGAATCAAAAATAAAAAGAAAAAAAAAAACAAAAACCAAAACACTTTCTCATCGCTCGAGATTATTATTAGAAGAGTGTATTTGAATAGGCACATTAACTGAAATATCTTCAGTCGTGATTTGACTCTTGTAGTGAATGGGCATAAATACGGTTTAAAAATATTCATGACGAATACGATATAGAACAACGATAAAGAACAAAAAAAAAATAAATAATTTTTTTTAAAAGAGAAACAAACCATTAAAGAAAAAATCGGTTAAATGAATATATAAAAAAAAAATATAACATAAAAGGACATAAGAAAATCAAAAAGGAAAAAAAGGACATTTATTTTTTTAAAAATTGTACTATAACAAATATTACATGTATATATAAAATATCGGTTATTTCTTCATTCTATTCTTATAACGTACCTACATACATGTATAATAAGCATTACATATATATATATACATAGTAGATTTTTGTAACATTAACTTTTTAATGGAATAATTACTGATTTTGCAATTTTATTTATTCTCTCTACTATTGCTTTTTTGCTTCTTGCCTAAGGAATGTTATTTTAAAATTATATACATATACACATTACATACCTGTATAACAATAGTATAAATAATAATATAAAAAGAAATGTTTTATTATATTTTTAAAATTACCAAAACAATAAATGCAAAATCACTCAATATTCAAATCAGTTCATCAACAGCATTGAAACGATAAGGACGTGTTTAATTGTTTTGTATATATGTACGGAAGACAAAACACAATTATAATAAAAAACGTTATATTAAAAAATATAAAAAATTAATTTAAAATTGAAAATTTTTCGGTTCTCTAAAAAAAAATTTTTTTTTAATTCAATCAACTTTTAATATGGAATTAATTAAATAATAACTAATTAAAAATTAAGAACAGGACTTGGCAATTGTAACTTAAATACCTCAAATATTAAACCAAAAAAAAAATTTTTTTTGTTTTATTTCAAACCTTTTTGCACATCTATTTAATTACAATTTTTGAAATTTTTAATATTTATATATATACAATAATTGAACTCTATATTTAAAGAAAAAGAAAAAAATATATAAAATTTAATATTATAAATAAAATGAAGAAAAACCAAATAAATTTTTAAATAACTACCTCGTTAATGGAAAAAGAAACACACAAATAAAAAATCTTTTTTAATATTTTTAATTAATAAATTAAAAAATCAAAAACAAAATCGAAACTCAATCGAAATTAAAACAAAAATATATTTTTGAATTGAAACAAATTAAATACAAATAATATACAAAAATCACAAAATAACAACACACACACACAAAATATATACAAGTGATTTCTAAAAAATTATAAAACACGAAAAATTAATATTAATTAATAAAAAGTTTATATAAAATATAAGTGAAAAAACAACACATTTGAAAATTTAAATAATTAATTAAAAAAAATATTCAAATTAATTAAAATATAATTATAATAACAAAAAGTACAAATAATAAATTTCGATTTATATAATTATATATAAAATTATTAATTAATTTTTCAAATTTACTTATAAAATATTTGAATAATTATAAAAAAATTACACGAAAAAAAATCATAATATTCGGAACGTATGCACTGAAAAAATTTAATCTTAATAAAGAATTATTTAATTATTTAATTTAACAATAATTATAATAAAAAAAGGATAAATATTATAGAACAAAATTTAAAAAAAGTGTTGACAACTGTTATACGATTTTTAATTTTCGATCCATTAATTTTTTGTTTTTATAATTACAAAAAAAAAAAAATTGATACTCAACTTCACGTTATTTACTTCGATATATATGTACATGCATATATTAATGATATAAATACATAATTTTTATTATAATTATATTTATATATATGCAAAATGGCGTTATCATTATTACAGGACGCTCAAACAAGAGGTTAGTATTATTTAATAATGAGATTTCATTTAAAAAACACAACTTATTATTATAATTTAAAAATAATATTAATTATTATTACAATGTACTAATTATATATAACTATAATAAAAAATTTTGAATTATGGAGTATACAATATCAATTTCCACTTTCTCATTATTAATTCCCAATAGGAGTAATTAAATCTCTCTCAATGAAAAAATAATTAAACTTTTTTTATTTTCGATAATCTTGAAATGAGTTGCAAAAAAAAAATCGTCTTCTATTCCAATAAGTACATTAAAGAATTATTATATTAAATGTACGTATAATAGATATTACTTAAAATTAATGCTTATTCTGGATTCCTAAAAATATTTAAAAATTGAGAAATATTTTGTCTTTTTTAGGTTATTCTTATATAATTAACCTTACATAATACCTCACTTTCATTATTAAATTGCCGTCGGTATTTTCCAACTTTTTCGAAAATTCAAAATGAATTTAATAATCAAATATGTTTGATTTGCCCATCGATTCTTTTTACTTAACATCATAAATTCAGTCTAATCGTACTAATGTTTCGGAATTCTGCTTGAATTACTATCTCCTACTGTATATGCAGGGTATTGTATTTAATTCGACGGTTGGTTCGGTAATTGTGACTTTTACGATCGGATTTTTTCGGTTTCTTCGAATTCTACTTGGATAATGAAAGTATATAAAATAATTTAGAGATTATTTTTATTACTTAATATTAGTATAAATAAATATAGAAATATTAGCATAAGATTTTCCTAATAGCGCTAACATTTGTACTGTTACCATGTATACTTTTAATTTTCAGTTTAGTAAACATGGTGGAATAGATTATAAAACAGTTTATACAATCGAATATAAACATACAATCGCTTTAAAAAAAGATATTACTTAAATGATTACATTAAGTAACTGGAAGTGTAAGATAAAAAGTATTCCCCAAATATAAGATTAAGTTGCTCATACTGCTTACGACGTGTTTTAATTGAATTTTCACGCAAGTTAACACTCTTCATTTGTTAATTCAAATCCAATACACTATTATTAACTCATACAAATTGTTCTAATTTTATATTAGAATTTTCATTTTACCGTAAACTTAGCGTTTATTCGTATAAGCCCCGCATATATCCCCCTTAAGTTATGTTATGTTACGTATGGGCGAATTTAATCAGCACCTCGACCATACAGATCTTTTGTGCATCCTCGCGCCAGATCATTACAACTCAAGATTAAGGCTCCCGATAAATTTTAACAGGTCCGCCATGCACAACGATTCATGAGAATCCAAGTCAAAGACCCCGAGAAATCTAGCCAATATGGATCGTTTTTATATTGGCCATTATGCCAATATAAAAAGGATCCAATCTTAAATACACAATTTATAGATTAAAATAATTGAAATATAAAATTCTTAAAAAATAACAAAAACTCCTAAAAATAATTTAGAATTCTTTACAATACAACCCTTATTAAAAAACAAAACACAAAAACAAATTCTGTTGCCCGCCCCATATAAAAACAAAATTATTATTTTCTCGTTTTTATTATTTTGAATCAATTAAAAAAATTCTTATATTCCTAAAATATTTAAAATATCGCAATCCTATTTCTTCCGTCCCCCCTAAAAAAGAAAAATAATATTAATATTTCCTTTTCATCATCGCATTTCAATCATTAGCAATTAAATGAATCTTGATTAATCATAATAAATTTTCTCTTCTTTTCTGTTGTACAACTCACTTTTTCTTAATTTATTATTAAAGTTTGTTATATAAGAGAAAGAATATATACAGTTGATTTTTAATACAACAGAAGAAATGCGAATAAAGGGAAGAAATAATTTGGTTTTCCTTCATTGTTTTAAAAATTCTTTTGCTTTTTCATTAAAATTATATAATTTTCACTTGACTTGCCTTATCATAAGCCTTCCAATTTAAAGAAACCCAATATATATATATATATGTATAACAATAACAAATATGATGTCCTCTGTATTCCTCCTTATATTTTCCATTTTCATCGCATTATACCGGGGTTTCACATTTAAAAAATTTCCTACTAACCGACTCTTTCAATTTTTTTTATTAATATCTTCCTCATTATTATTCCTTTAAAATCTTGGTAATATTCATATATATATATATACATATACTCATCTTTATATATAATATGCGCGTTAGTTTTTAGTATATAGCGACGACCTACTTGAATAATTATCCATCGTTAAAATCCATCAGGATGCCAATTCTTCAGAAATGGTTATAATAAACAAAATAACATAAAAAAAAAGAAAATTTAGAACAACAAAAACGAAAACGAAAAAAACACAAAAAATATTTTATCCTTCTCCAATATAATGGGGTAGAAAAATGACTTCTAAAATAAAAAAAAATAAAATAACAATCCAAAATAATATAAGAAAAGATTCTGCCATTCTGAAAATCCACAATTTTTAATAAGGACAAAATTTACAATAAAAATGTTAAAAGGAAACAAAAAATTTCACGGAAAAGCAAAAACAAAAAAAAAATATAAAATTTTTTAACCATTCACTTTTCTTGTCTTAAAAAAATAACAACAATAAAAACCTTAAATTATAAAAATAACAACGAAAAAAAAAATAAAAATTCCCCAAAAATAAAAAAAAACGCAAAGCCAGAAATGAAGAAAAGAAAAATGAGAAATTTTTCTTCCCGGTTGAGAAAATGTAAAAGAAAAAACAGTTTTCATCTTCATCATCATCATCACCATCATTATCATCACAATGATTATCATCATCATCAATATCTTTAACACCATCCCGCCCGACCGACACCGCACACTTACCGATCAAACGACGATAATAAAAAAAAACCCCAAAACTTAAAAAATACTGAAAACAAAAATTTTTTTCAATCCTTCCTAACCGTTACTCCACACCGATGTTGGGTAAATCTTATAACTATAACGTTATTTTATTCGTTAAAAAGAAAAACGTTTTTCTCTCATTCTTACAATCAAAAAAAAAAAAAAACAAACAACAAAAATTTTTCATTTTTAAGAGTTTTTTCAACCCTTATTTTCTTCTAGCCAACTTTTGCCATTTTTCTTCTACTTCTTCTTCAAAATAATTTCTTTTCTTTTTGGCTGGGCTTAATATACACAGATTTTCTTTTTCCAACAAAACACAACTTTGTAGACTTTAAAAAGAGCTATAATACACACAAACACAATATACAATCCGTATCACATATAAGAACAAAGTCAAGAAAATACAAAAAACGAACAAGAAAATTCGAAGTCAATTTTTTTTTGATATTAGATTTTTCCTTCTCATTTTCTCATTTTCTTTTCATTTATATAAAAACAAAATTAAGTTTCGGATGGTATGATGGCATATTTTGATCAAGGAGGGATACGGAACGGGCAGAATTTATACCAACAACAAAAAAAGTAAATTAAGAAAATGATTTTAAATTTTTTTTTTCTTAGAAAAATTTTTAATTAATTTTTTCAAAACTTTTTCTCCCGCATATGCTTGAATTATCAGGTTTTTTTATGGTATAAATACAACGGCTTCTAATGTGCCCAAACCAAAGATTTCAAATTAACGCAATTAACTTTGCAAGACTCTCCGATATTTGATTTTAGTGAGTAGATTTTTTTTTCCATTTCAAATTAATTAAAACTTTAATGAGAGAATATTAAGTTTATTAATTTAAAAGTTCTTTAAATTTGAAACTTATTTTTTCTAATAGATGTCTGCTAAATGCTTACTTACTTAAAATCGACTCAAGTAATTCTCTAACTTCTTCAATTTTCCCTCTTTTGTGTTCAAAACGACTCAAGATTCTTTAATCAAACTCAAAAAAAATTTAAGAATAGGTTGTTTTGTGGTATTCAAACTTGTTTGATAAAAGTGTAATAATTTAGATAAAAAACAACCACTACATTACTTCATTACCTTCATGCCAGTTACACATACTGTTGACTGTTAATATTACGTCGGCAATAAAATAAATTTTGTATGAAAGTAAAAACATTTTTGTATACAATTACAAACATTTTTTATTAGTTTTACAATAGCTACGGAATATCATGCATGAAGCAATGAGCTAGAAATTTTTCTATTCGTTCATTTCCTACCGACGGTTTAATGATGAAATCAAAACGATGACGTTCCAAAGTTCTTAAAATCATAAATAGTAAAAAGAACCCAATATTTTCAAGAAAATATTCATTTATTTAAAATTACATAAAAATATTTTTAGAAATTAATAAACACGGAAATAAATTTTTGCGTTTCTTACGCACACACTTTGCTTTTCTCTTTGTATAACAGTTTCTTAACATTACTTTTAAAGTTTAAAACCACGTGCCATTAATATTTTAAATTTTTATAAAAACTTTTAAATTAACAAAATTACACATTTGGATCAAGAATATTAACAAAAAAAGAAAATTTCACTTTATATGATTTTTTATATGGGTGCATGTTGCACCCTCTTGTGCCTCCAATTAACTTATTGAAGAGAAATTTGTTATTTAAAAATAAGTTGAATTAAAATCTCACCTTTTTCTTGAATTAAAATTCATCAACATGCTTGTTTCAAAATGCAATATGAAAATTTTTTCCGTCGGCTTGTTCCTACTAAGTATTAGTTTTATTAGTATTTCGGAACGAATTTAAAATTTTTTTAAAACGATGTTAGAGCAACGAATTTAGTCGAACCTACGACTTTGTTTCCACTGCTACAAAAATGAAATAAAATTTTTCGCAATATATCTACGGCCGACCTTAAAATTTGTAATAAGTTCCTTAAAATTTGTAATAAGGAAAACATAATCCAATACTTTGGTAGATAATTTAAAAGAAGTTTTCAGTGCTGCAATATCCGCGCCCTCAACAAACTCTTTATGAATAAAGAGAGGAACAAAAAATAACATGGTTTAGTGTAAAAACAAAACTAAAGTGGGTAACGAAAACGACGAATAATTT